AGCAAAAAACTTAAAAATTTTCAAAAAAATCTAAAATTCAAAAAATTCAAAAAAATTCAAAAAGATTTAAAAAAAATTTAATAAAATAAAATTTATTAAAATTCAAAAAAATTAAAAATATTTGAAAATAGAAAAATCTAAAAGTTTTTGAAAAATTTTAAAATGTTAAAAACTTTTGAAAATTTTTAATTGTTTTAATCTTACAATTTAATTATATATATTTTGAATTTTTTGAATTTTGTTGAAATTTTAATAAAATTTAAGCTTTCTATTTTTTATTTTTTAAAAAAAATTTTAGAAGTTTTAAAAAACTTTCATATTTTTCAAAATTTTTATATATTTTCTAAAATTTTAAAAATTTTCAAAAAATTTAGATTTTTTTAATTTTTACATTTTTTTAAGTTTTAAGTTTTTTAAAATATTAAGAAAAATTTAACTTTTATTAAAATTTTCATTTTCAGAATTTTTTGTAGTTTTTGTTAAAATTTTCATAATTTTTTAAAATTTTAAAATTATCATAATTTTTTATAATTTTTACAAATATTTCATATTGTCAAATTTTTATAAATTTTAAAATTTTTTTAAAACTTTTCAAAAATTATTAGAATTTAAAGGAATTTGTTATAATTTTTTTTGAAATTTTTAGAATTGTTTTGAATTTTTTAAAAAATTTTAGAATCTATTGAGAATTTTTTTAAATTGTAATATTTTTGAATTTTTTAAATTTTTTTAGCTGTATTTTAGAATTTTAAAAAAATTTTAAAATGCTTTTAGATAATTTTAATTTTTTAGAATTTCTTTGAATTAAAAAAAATATGTTTTTGAAATGCTCTTTTGATATTGACGTGAAATTGATGATGTAATATTGATCAAATTTTTTAACAAATATTAGTATCTTATTGGATATTTATGTCATTTTAGTTTTTTGGATTAATGGTATTAGTACGAGATATCAATATGATAATAAAATAAAAGTCAAAGTGTTAGACTGATAATTTTATTTTTTAGGTACTAAATTGATAAAAAGTGAATAATTCAGACTTAATTTTATATTAACCCACGTAAAAAAAAGACTAAAATGAATTTATTTACTTATTGACTTCTGTGATACGGTCGGTAAAACATCAATTATCCAGTGGAGTTGTAGCTAGGTAAATAGCCTTTTTTTTTGTTTGAGATTTTTTATGTATGGTATTCACTTCGAGTTTCAATTATTTTAGAGTTGAAAGGGAGTTAAATTTTATAAGAGAGATAAGCTTTTTCAACACTTAATTTTTTTATTTACAAAGCTTAAAACTTAGATCTTGTTTAAAATAAATTGAACTCTTTACTATTCAAATCAACAAACGTTGATAGCTAGGTAAATAACTTTAATTTCTTGGGTTTTGCCCGCTTCGTCCTAAAACTATAAACAAAAGAAAAGAATTTGCTAAGCGCCTTTTTGGTTTTTTTTGGACAGGGAGATGCACACTATATCTACATTAATCTAGGATTTTTTTTTTTGGAGAAATTTAATGTAGGATTTTTTTTCTCTATTTCTATTTAACATTTTAATGAATAAATTCCATAAAATTTTTTTTTGTTTATTTGATAAAAATAATTGATTTAATTTGGTGGGTTTCACAAAAGGGTTGGAAAGCACTCTAAAAATTCTTTAATGTATCTAAAATTAATTTCAAATTATCATAAAGAAAAATATAGAATTATGAAATAAACGTAAAAAATAATATGGATGATGACAAAATAAATTACATCTTAAATAATTTGAAAATTGCACATTATTGCACTACAATTTTATTTTATTTTTTTAAAAATAATTCTCATATTTCTAATTTTTGTACCCAATAAAATATGAACAAAAAATAAAAATCTATGGAAATAAGCAAGAAAAGAGATTTATATATAACACCAAACATTCTCTTTCTCTTCAACTAACAATTCCCTAGTGTAGATTACAAGAAAAAGCTTAACAATACCAAAAATGAAACACAAGGAAAGACTAGTAGCAATGTTAGAGGATTGCTCAACTTGCTCCCAGTTGAAAGGGAAGAGGTAAGAGGAACAACAGATTCAAGACCAGTAAAATCTGTAACATTTTCCCTGGAGCAAGTGTAGTTGCAGCAACTAAGAGGAACTATTCTATATACACCATTATGGATGGCAACCCAATTCGTCTTGACAGGTTTCGACTTGACTAAACTTTTTAGGATCAAAATATTTTTTTATTTTAAATTTGGTTTTAAGTCGGGTCAAGATTGAGTTTGAAGCAAATTCATTACAACCTGATATATATAATTTTTTTAATTATTTATTTAATTTTATATTTACATTAAAAATAATATTTTATTAGTTTCGAGCCAAATCAAATCAGATATAATTTTATATAATATTAAATCGGATCAAATTCGAAACGAGTAAAACTCATCTTGATTTAATCTGTTATCATCCTTGTATCTAAAATGAAGATGTCTTTCCTATTATCCGGCCCAAAGGAAAATATAAACCGCAATGTTGGAGATGTTGATTGAGGCCCAGTAGTACATTGGATAGGAGAGTCATGAGCACATTTGATAGGAAGCTGAGTGGTAGTGAAGTTTCCACTACCTTTTGGGCTTTCTGCATTACCTTCTGCTCTTTCTGTACCTGCCCACCTATCATTACCATTCAAATCTGCATAAAGGTACCTGCAACCATGATTCATAAGTAATTAGGCCAAGGTAATTGGCATTGTTTCCAAAATTAAGTGCCTCAAATCTAGTAAGTTTGTAGCGAAACAAGCTCTATCAAGATTTACTACACCCTACTAATAAGCTACGTTCAATCCGATTGATACAAAATATAGTACTAGAAACTAAAGTTCATATACAAAATATAGTAATGGTTGAATCCTATTACTAGGAAGATTGCATTTATGGGACTGGCAGATTTATTAGCCACAGAGAAGCTTGAGGAATTGTATGAGAAAGGGCCTTCATAAACTCGCCAACCATAGTTTCCTTCTTTAGTAACTATATCCACTTCTTCATACTGCTCCTGTATAAGACCAGATATGTATGCATCACTAAAAAGGTTTCGTAAAAGTTGATTGAAAAAGGAAATATGCAAGAATAAGCATTGAAAGTTGAAACCGCGAGGTTAGCATTCTAGTTTTCAAGAAGTTAGTAGTCAATTTTATTAACTGACATGACATGCAGTGGTTTGTTGCTTGTGTTATGTTCAATTCCAATTGTTGACTTCCAATTTACTTGAATAATAATAATAATAATTTAACATATAATAATAAACAGGAAAAACGTATCTTTATATATATATATATATCGATTAAGAAAAATTAAGGACAAATTTGGCAAATTCTCATGTTGATCTCTTGAACAAAAGGGTCATGGATGAATGATGATTACATAAAACGACATCGCCTAAACATCACTATATTTTGGTTGCTTTGTGGCAAATGAAGTTCGGTGTCAACTACAATTTAAAAAACAAAAAATGCAGAGGCTTAGCTATTTCATAATAGATTCAACCTTTTTCCTCAATTGATTTCACACCTATATCTAAACGAATAAAATCTCAGTTCATATATAAATGGCAGAAATGATCTGAAGCTGACAGAGTGAGTGAAAGCACTGTGTCATCAGTACCAAGAAGTAAGAAAAACTCCTATTCGAGCTCACTATTTGAGCTGCCTATGTTAAAACACATTGCAGTCAAGAATGAAATATGACATGTATCAAACATATATATAATGCAATGATGCAGAATTTCAACATTTTTCATGTTTTTTGGGCATATACGTTAACAAAATTTCCTTGGGACTAAAAAACTTGAGAATTAACTTCAATCATTTAATAGAACAGAACTACAAATCAAAAAGTGATATCTTTGACTGGAAATCAAAATTAGAAAATCAAAATCAAAATGAAAAATGTATTTAGAGGAGAAGAATACCTCGCTGAAGAATCAACAATGATAGCGACAAATGGCTATGTTGGAGATGACAATGAAAATGACGATCGTGGAAGTGGAAAGGGGGTTTGATTTTCAAAAATGAGGGAAAATAGCTAAAAATTTTATTGGAGAAAGAGTGATGTGAGAGAGATGTTGACTTTGATTTCCAATAGTTAGGGCCTGATTTCTAATTTTTCAATTGGTCAAAAATGAAGGAAGAATTAAAAGGAGAAGAGAAAAAGAAAAAAAAAAAAGAAGAAAATCATGAAAGATATAGTAGAAAGTGAGAAAAAACTACTTGGAGAAACACACGTGAGAAGGTAGTTTTTTTTTATTATTAGAGGTTAATAGTGTGCTTAAAACATTAGTCATTAACGGCGGATTCATTTTAGGCAGGCAAAGATAAACCTAAATAGAGAAACTCCGACAATTTTTCAAACCTTCAAGAAAAAAAATACCTTTAAAATTACATTATTTTGTTGTGTCGTTTATATTACACACATTTAAATTTTAATGGTCCAAGTAGATGAGAATCCTTGAGAAATCTTTTACCATTTTCCCTTTTATCTGTATTTTTTATTTTATGAAATGATAAAAATTAAGATACTACCAAAGACAATACGAATTATAAAACAATAATATAATTTAAAAAAAAAAACGTCAAAGGAAAATTGAAAGATATATAAAGATAAAAAATAAAATAATAATAAATAAATAAATAAAAATAAATTAAAAATTTTTTAACAAAAAATTGAAAAAGTATTGCTCAAGAACTTACCGTTAAAGAAAAGAAAAAACATGTACAAAAAAAAAAAAAAGAGAGAAAGAAACGAAAAGACAAAAACATTGTAACAATGCTATTTGAATGAAATTATCTTCATGAAACATCCTTTTGTCAACAATGAACCCTAGTCTATAATAAACTAATAATGGCTGCCCAATTTCTTACCAAAAAATTGAAATCCACTTGCAAATAACACAGACCAGACGCGCCGACGCTATTATTAATTTTTTAAAATAAGAAAATAATAAAAAAGAAAATCAAAACTTAACAACTAATCCAAAGAATGGCAATTCTGAAATAATGTACAAAATTAAACCTACTTTGACAAACTCTAGCTCTATAAATATTCCACAAACAACGTTAACGAAAAACAACGTAAAATCTCTCTTTTTGGCTCAGGAAAATTTTCGAATTTCGAAGCATGTCCGGTGGATATCCTCAATACCCTACGGGCTACGGCTACGGTGCCGCCTACGCCGCATCTTCTGCTCCGTTCTCGGCCCCTCCAGGGGAAAAGCCACTAAAGGACAAGCACCATGCTCACGGCGGAAGCTATACACATGCAGAATGTTACGCTAGCCCGTTCGCGGCACTGCTGCCGTCGGTGTTTCCACCGGGGACAGATCCTAACGTCGTGGCTTGCTTTCAACTGGCTGATCAAGATGGAAGTGCATTTATTGATGATAACGAGTTGCAAAGAGCGCTTTCTTCGTATAATCAAAGCTTCAGTCTGAGAACCGTTCATTTGCTCATGTATCTCTTCACTAATTCCAACACCAGAAAGATCGGTCTGTTTCTCTTTCTCCTACTCTTATTATTATTCTAAATTAAAGCTTTAATTTCACTGCTTTTCGGCAGCAATTGCAATTAAATTATCTGGTTAATTTTACATAAGGCGTAAACAAATAGATTTGGATAAATTGTTTGTGAATATGTGTGATTTTTATTTATTTATATTTATTTATTAAATTTAATAAATATAACTAAATAATATTTTTATATTTATTTATTAAACAAATCTAATATAAAAAAATACGAATGAATTATTTATATTTATAAATAAATTTATTTAAAATTTGTATAAAATTTATTAGTTTATTGTTCATTTATTATTTGTTTATAATGATATTAATAAAATTACATTTTTATCTTTTATTTTAATTTTATTTTAAAATTTATTTAAATTTATTTAAGATTTATTTATTTAAATTTATTTGATTATAATTTATTTATTATTTATAAATATGTGTATTTATTTATAAATATATTTGTTTATATATATTTATTTAATGTTTATGAATAATTTAATTAAATCAGATATAAATTGAATGTAAATATTTTATCATTTAAATAAATTAAATTTGAATGAATAAAGTAATTTTTTATTTAAATATTTTTAAAAATAAATAATTAATTACATACATATATTCATTTATTTATATTCAAATGTTTTAGTTTTCATTAATTAAAAATTAAGATAAAAAATATGTTTAAAAAATGTGCGAGGAAAATCTACCTGTTTCGCGTTGTTGTAATGAATAAAAAAATCCCTAAAAAAAGAGAAGATGCTAATTAATGTAAATAGAACTAATTATAAAAAAATAACTATGATTGAAATGTAAGTGGAACGTAATTCTATTTACGAGGATCATATTTAATCGCAAAACCAAATTCTTATTTGTTTTTGTCATTTTTAAATTCTTTTTTATTATTTTGTGTAAGACTTGCAGTTAATTGTAATTAAATTCAAGTTGAAAATTAATTCCTAAATACACTGCTAAATATCCGATTAATTCCGAATTAATTGTTTATATAGTTACGATCTTGTACGGTGAAATCACACCTTTCCAGCACAATTTTTCAGTACGGGAAAAAGTTAGTGGTAGCGTCTAATGTACGCAGCCGGTATTTGCGTCACTAACTTACGCCGGAGTGCTAAGTCTTTGTCTAAGTCGTGGCATATATTTAGGGGTTTTGCTTTTAACCCCATGCAACAAAATGACTAGATAAACCTTATTCGTGTATCTTTAGATAGATTTATCTATTTTAGTATCCGTGTCTATTTATTTGTTTTTGTTAAATACAGCGCAAAACACAAATATTATTATTAAAATATGTATATTTTTTACAAATCTCATATTCAATTTTTATTTAAAATTTTAAATTATAAATAGTTTCATTTTTTGTTATTTTTATAATATTTTATTATATTGTATTTAAAACTATGTTAAAAAAATATGAGATCTACTATGTTACTCGTTATAAAGATTTGATCAGGTATATCTCTGTCCATTTGAGTGGTGTCATGTGTATCACGCGGGGGCCTATGGAAAGATTTTTCGCAAGTATCTATCCTTGTCCATTTTCGCACAGTACAAAGATGGTGTCACTTGAGAGAGCCTTTTATGCAATTAGGGTTTTCTGTACGTAATGTTACATTTAATTTTTCATCCTCGAGGGCAGTGGGTTGTTTTGATGTTGGAATTGTCGAACCACCTCATATTACTGCAGAGTCAAATATATATTATGTAGTGGGTGGGTAATTCACGTCACATGCGTTATTTAAAAAAAAATGGAAGTAATGGTATTTAATTTGTTCCACTACTCAAAAGTAGCAGTAATTTTGTGAACCTTTACTTTTTGTGAATACTCGGACCAATAGAACATTTTAATATTTGTCTTTCAAATTTTGGTAAGCAATATGATTTACTTACTTTTCCTTTTTTGAAATTTCTCAATGCAGGTCCTAAGGAGTTCACTGCAGTGTTCTATAGTCTTCAGAATTGGAGGGTAATTTCCATGACAAGCTTTTTTTTTGTTTAAATAGTTTTACTTTTTTCTTGATTGAATTTATGGGTTTATTCGGGTTTTCTTCCTGCAGGCCATCTTTGAGAAATTTGACAGGGACATGAGTGGTAAGATTGATGCCAATGAACTGAGAGAGGCACTGTTGAGTCTAGGATTTGCAGTCTCTCCGGTTGTGTTGGATATGCTCGTATCCAAGTTTGATAAAACTGGAGGCAAAAACAAGGCCATCGAATACGACAACTTCATCGAGTACGTTTTCTGTTCACTATGTTTCATTTTTTAAATTACTGAACATTTCAATGAATCAGTCTCATTGTAAAAACATGATCATTTATGTCCATAATATCAACTAATCTTTCTTTTCTTGCCTCTTTTCTTTTTGGTGCAGGTGCTGCCTTACAGTTAAAGTAAGCTCAGTAATTTCTAGTTCCTTTCTACTTTTAACTTGATGAGAGTTTGGTTTTCGATTAATGGTAATTCGATTTAAATCAATGTTTGATTCTTTTTTTAGGGACTAACTGAGAAATTCAAGGAGAAGGACACCATGTACAGTGGTAGTGCGACGTTTACTTATGAAGCGTTCATGCTGACCGTACTGCCATTCCTAATTGCATAGATTATGAAGATTTTTTTTTTTATTGTGTTTATGGAGGAAATTTCATTTTGTCTTTGAACTCAATCTGCTGCTTTAACTTAGAGTTTTGTTGCTATATCTATATAGCAAAATAAAACGTAAAAAGCGTTTGAATTACTTTGTATGACCACTCTTTTGATTTCAATGCCACGTTCAATGTTCTATTGTTCTGAAAGACACTGACGAATAATAGTACCTGATTCCCTGTAGAGGGGGTAAAAAAATAAAAACTTGCATTTGAATTAACTCACAATGTCAGTACGTTGTGAAAATAAGCTTCAATAGCATTGTATTTTTTTTTGGAGAGTAATGATGTGGCGTGATAAGATTTTTAACTCACTATGCTAGAGTTTAAGGTCAAGTGAAGATGATTTCTTCCAACCGTAGCATTTTTTCTTTTTATACCCCTCTTATTTATTTTCTTTACCCTCTAATCTACATTGTAATTACTAAAACATCCTTATAACTTAGTAGCTTTTGTCATGCTTCTTTTTTTTTATCCTGCTTTTCCTTCATGATTTTGAAAACTACTTATACATGATTTTATTCTCAACCAATTGCAAATCAATTTTTGAAGTTTTCTCAAACAATAGTTAGAAAATATATTTACTATTTGACCAATCAATATGTTATTATTTACAATGTTTGAAAATTAAAAAAAGTCTCTTTTTGAAAAAATAACAGTCCAATTTCAAGAATTTCAAAAACAAAACTATGTACAACACTAGAGACAAAGATCATTTATGATCAATAATTACGCTTTCACTTTCACATTTTTTTTTTCATCTGGGACTTATTCACTTCAAGGTACTCAATCCTTTGTCATATTCAATTTTTTGAAACTCTTTGTCAAACTTAGATGGAAAGGAAGTAAGATGGAAGACAACATGCACTTTGTCAAAATTTCCATGATCATGATCTTTTCTTCTAAGGACTTTTTTTTCTTTCTTTTCACCTATAGAGGGCACTCTTTATTCATCAAATAAGGGGATATCATGAAAGAACAATTAAATAAATGTGTGAATGACATGATATTATCATGATAAATTTGTGAATGCATGCACAATAAAGATAATGAAGGCTTCTCTAAAATGTAATGTATGTATCATTCAAGTTTGATGAGAATCATATTATTTATCCATTTATGTACACCAAATAACAAGACGTATTTATATGAAATGAAATGTATGTACAATGTGAGCGTGATGGTAATTATATCACTTCTAAAAATATGCACAAGAAATATTATGCCCCAATATATGAGTGATGACACATTTACATGAAATGCAGTACATGAACAAGAAAAACCATATGAATATATTTATACATGAAATGCAATGCCTTATTTCATTAGAGATGATGTGTTTACATGAAATGAAATGTATGTATCATGCAAGTTTAGAATAATATTATTTGTGAATGTATATGCATAAAACACAATGACATACTACTTGAGTAGTGGTATGTAAACGAATGATGAAATATACTTATATGAAATACACTATAGTATATGCATGATAAAATATGTTTACCCAAAATGCAATGCATGTACTATACAAATTTAATGAAATTGATACTACCATTTAGATGTGCACATAATGAAATGTATATACAACCTTATTATTTTTAAATGGACACCAAAAAGATTGAACGGAGTACAAATGATCAAATAACATTCAAAATCAAAATGTTCATTCTTTCCCTTTTTTTCTCTCTTTTTTAAGAAAGCAATATGAATTTAAGAAAATATTTCCTATGAAAAATAAAAACATATAAAAAAAAACCAAAATTCAAAGATTTTTTCATACTTTTGTTTTTATTATTTGGCCAATTAAACAAAAAAAAAATCTTCTTTTGTGAAAAATTTTCATCTATTTTGAACTTTTTTTTTGTTTTTTTTATTATTTTGATTATTGGAAAGTGCAAAAAAATTTATTTTTTTGAAAATTTTTAAAAAATACAAATCTTGGACAAACAACAGATGAATTGAACAATATATCAAAGGAAAATTTATTAAAAGAATATTTTCTTTTATTATTTTTTTTTCAAAATTTTAATTTTATCTGCACTATTATTATCCTTAAATACAGATTGTATAAGAATGTTCCTCACATGTCCTTATTTTGGTAATTTCTACAAAAAGATTGGCATTGCTTTACCTAAAGCTAGTCTTCTAAAGTTCACCATATGTTGAGTGAAGATTTATACATCTAAAGATTCTCAAATTATTTTTTAATAGCGTCCGTATAAGACTAGTAAGACACTGCAATCCTTAATTAATATATGCTACAAATGAAAAGTTTTCAATTTGAGTTGAAATATTTCTCTTATCATTGCGTAAGTTATTGCATCACGAGAGTATAAAAACTCTACTCCTTCTTAAGAGGGATGAAATTCAGGTATAAAACTCAAACATGATATAAAATGTGCCATGTGTGGATAAGGGAACATAACATTAGAAATTTAATCTGAAATGTCCTACAATCTATCAAGAATAATATAAAAAATATAAAATAATAAATGAATAAATGACATGCATGTAATTTTTTTATTACTATTATTATTTAAAAAAACAAAATCAAAATAAAAAAATTAAAGTTAAATACCAATTAAGACCACTAAATTAAAATTAAAGATAACACATAATTAATTTTAACTTAACTCTAAAAAAATGTGCCTTAATGGAGTCGTCAAGTTGTTGTAATGGTTTTGAGGACCGTTAAACAAAAATTTTAAAATTTCAAAAACAAAGAAGTTGCTACCAATCTTTTTTATTATGTGTGATTGACTACGTAAAAATTTATCTTTGTAATAAAATTTTAAATTAATTAAAATTTATTAAAAAGATAATTTTTGATCTATGAAAATCAAAATTGGATTCAAGAATATAGTTACGCATGAAAAAAAATTAATACCCTCATAGTGCCCATTTAAAAAAAATCGATTAATCATGTATTTTCCTTTAATTTTTACAAAAAAAAATCTTAATTTTGATATTTAAAAATCATTTCCATAATTTCTTATTACAACAAAAATCTTTTGGTTTTTTTATCATTTATTTAAAAAATAAATAAGAACCTTATATATTAAAATATCTAAAAAATATTTCAATACGTTGATAATATTTAAAAATCTTTTTCACTTAGAGATTTTCTAAGAATTATTACTCAAATTTCTTAAAAATCTCGTCATCGATAATTCGTATTTATCATCAAAATTAATACTTAAAATGCATATAATAAAATACCTATAACTAAACCTAAATAATATTTTCCTTTTATAAAAGTTCATTTCTGTTTTTTTTTTTATTAAAGGCAAGTGAAAAATATTTATTGAAAATTGTTCTAAATGTTTCAATATATTAATGACATTTTAAAAAAAATTTCACTTAAAGATTTTTAAAAAATCATTACTCGAACTTCTTTAAAATCTTATCTTTGAAAATTTTTACTTTTGCTTATTTTTTTTTAAATAATCAAATTTTGTAAATAATAATATGTATGCATTATTATAGATAATTTTGTTACTAAACATTTTTTCTTTTTTGTCATTTATTTTTTTATAAAAATATTTTATATTAAATATTTTTAAAAATATTTCATTATTTTGATAATATTTTTAAAAAATATCATCACTTAAAGATTTAAAAAAATCGTTGCTCAAATTTTTGTAATATTTCATTTTTTGACACTAGGTCAAAGATGAATTAACGTGAAAGTCAGAGCTAGACACTGGATTAAGCCGTAATCCAAAAGAATCCTCTTTTGCTAGAGTTGACGGATAATTTCTCGTTGACTTACGACTTGATAACTCGTTTTATTAGATAAGAAAAATTATCTTGTCTATTCCAACAGCTAGTGAATTGATAAAATTTCCCTATCCATTAAACTATAAATAAAAAATTACTAAATTAGCATTATTACCAAATCGGTTATTATATATATTCGTTAGCAATGTTAAAAATTAATTTTTATCATTTGCGCATAAAATAATAATCATATTTCAGTATTTTTCATTGGTTTTAATTAATTAAAGATCACTTACAAATAAAAGTGTTCAAAATTCAATTTTAATCAAATTAACTGGCCAAATAAATTAAATTCAATTAATTAGTTGTCTATCAAATTAATTTTGATTATTTATCAAAAATAATTTAAAAAAAATTTCAATCTTTGATTAATTTAATTTGAAAATCAAATTAACCAAAATTTTAATCAAACTATAATAAAAAAACTGAAAATATAAGACTTACCCATTTCATTACAAGTTATTAAGTTTTTAACTTAATTCTTTAATATTTGAATATTTTTATTAAATTATTTTATTTAAATTATTTTTAATATGATAAATTAAAAATTAAAAGTATAATTTAACTTAATATATTTTATTATTCGATTAATCAAAAAAATTAATCAAACTGAGCGAATTAATTTCGATAAGTCAATTTTTGAAATTAAAAAAATAAATTCAATTAATAAGAATAAAATACTATAATTCAATTAATTTAATTTTAAACAATTCAATTTGAAATTAACCAAATTAATGGAACAAGCATTCCTACTTACAAAATAAAGATTAATCGATAAAATAACTGAGAAAGATTAAAAAATAATAATAATAATAATAATTAAAACATAAAGATAGTCGGTGATCTTTTGACACTCCCTCTCAACGACTTATCTTAATATTGGTTTGCTAGTCATTTCGTGTTACCATCTGAACGTGTCAAATTTAAATTCATTCATTAATTCTCTCAATATTGGTTTGCATTTGCAAAAGGAAAAAAGGGGAAAGAGAAAAGCTTGAGTGGGCTATGATCTTACCATTGTATTGACTCCATGTTCATAAGCAACCCCTGCAATTGAGCATGACCATATTTTATTTTAGTTATCATCGAAACAAACAGATTCAAAACTACCATAAGCATCAAATTGAAATTATCTTTGTTTCATGTATCTGGAGTCTGGACAGTATGATTATAAAACTCGAATGAATGGTAAACCATTAATAGTACCCAACCGTATTATGCCTATAG